GGATCATTTGAGCCCAGGAATTTGAGGTTGCTATGAACCACAATCATGTTATTGCACTCTATTTCTACACTCTTGCTCTAACAGAGGGAGATTCTGTCTCAAAGCAAAAAGAAAAAAATATAAATAAAGTGTGTGGCTTTTAGAAATAAGGATAGTAGTTGCCTTGGGCGGTGCCTGTGGCTCAAAGGAGTAGGGTGCCGGCCCCACATACTGGAGGTGGTGGGTTCAAACCCAGCTCCAGCCAAAAAAAAGAATAGTAGTTGCCTTTGAGGGATGGGATTTACTAAAAATGGGCACAAGAGAACTTCCTAGGATCATAGTTCTAGATCCTTATCTACCTTAATAGATGTGTACATTTGTTTAAATTAATCAAGCTATATATATATTTTTTTTTTTTGAGATAGAGTTTTATTATGTCACCCTCGGTAGAGTGCTGTGGCATCACAGCTCACAGCAACCTCCAACTCTTGGGCTTAAGCAATTCTCTTGCCTCAGCTTCCAGGTGCCTGCCACAACACCCGGCTATTTTTTTTTCTTGTAGTTGTCATTGTTGTTTGGCAGGCCTGGGCTGTGTTTGAACCTGCCAGCCCCAGTGTATGTGGCTGGCACCCTAGTAGCTGAGCTACAGGCCCCGAGCATACATATATATTTTTATACACATTAAAAATATATATATATTAAAAAATATATATATATATATTTTTTTTTCAGATTTTGGCTAGGGCCAGGTTTGAACCCACCACCTCTGGGACCAGCACCCTACTCCTTTGAGCCACAGGTGCTTCCCCAATATATACATATTTTTGAGACAAAGTCTCACTTTGTTACCCTTGAGAGAATGTCATAGCATCCTAGTTCACAGCAACCTCAAACTCTGAGTTCAAGCGATCTTCTTGCCTCAGGCTATATTGTTAAATGTGTACATATTATGAAATGTAGATTATACCTCAATAAAGCACTTTTTTTTTTTGAGACAGAGTCTCAAGCTGTCACCCTAGATAGAGTGCCATGGTGTCACATCTCACAGCAACCTCAAACTCTTGGGCTTAAGTGATTCTGTTGCCTCAGCATCCCGAGTAGCTGGGACTACAGGCACCTGCCACAATGCCTGGCTATTTTTTTGGTTGTAGTTGTAGAATGCCATGCCATTGTTGTTTTTGGCAGGCCTGGGCTGAATTCGAACCCACAAGCTCCAGTGTATGTGGCTGATGAATGAGCCATTGAGCTACAAGTGCCAAGCTCTCAATAAAGCACTTTAATGAAAGTAGATTAATATTCATATGAACATGGCTTGGCGCCTATGGCTCAACCGGCTAGGGCACCAGCCACGTACACCTAAGGTGGCGGGTTCGAATCCCCAGCCCTGACCCGCCAAACAACAATAACGGCTGCAACCAGAAAATAGCCGGGCGTTGTG